CCATGTCTGTGGGGTCTACACCCATGGATTCAATCAAAAAAACCAAAAAAAAAAAAAAAAAAAAAAAAAACAAAACAAAACAAAAAAAAGATTGTTCAGTAAATAAGTCTATTTTTGTTGATTATATGGTAGTTCATTTTTGAAATGTAAGTGACAGCATTACAGTAAAATACATCCTTTAGCTTTCTTTACATATGTCTAAATTTTGAAACTTGGAGGTCATGACTAAAGAAAATGTTGTCATTAAAACTATTACAGAATCAATTCTGAAATGTCATTCTAATGGTGGCTTATAGTGCTAGCATTTTAAGTTTTCTTCTTTTTTGATAACCTTTTCATAAGCCATGGAGGGAAAAATCCTTTTGATCATAAACAATGCACTTTTACAAATGTTCTGGATTTCTCAAGTTAACTAATACGCCCAAATCTATAGTTTGCAAGCACATGAAATCTCAAAGGAATACAACCTTAAACTACTGTAAAGTAAAACGAAAATGTAAAAGTAAATAAGAGAAATTAAGTGCTTAAAATATTAATCTGTATACCCGACTTATGTACTAGACACATTACAGCCTTTACTTTTCTCACTAGTCTAATTCCACACACCTAATATATACACAGAGCCCTCACTACCATGTATTCCCATTTTACTTAGCAACTCATTTGAATAATTCTACACTCCTCTGTAGTATATTTAACCTAGTGTAACTTTTAAAATCACCAGGATTCAAAGGCAGTATGACCAGCTATATTTTCTTCCAATTATCTTTAGTAATATACAATTGATTTGTTTTATATAAATACTTTCTTGAACAATTCTACTTGTGCTTTTTTAGTGAAACAAACTCTCCTCTTGTAACAAGAAGTCTGCTATAAACGTAAGTCACCTGGGAGCCTGGCCAAAGTCTGAAGCAGCACAGCTGAAGGGTACAGCCATTTCACAGGGTCCTCTCAGAGAGTATTTGGTTTGCTTTCCTAACTTTCTAAAAATAGTAGATTACACAGGCTACCTCCATCTCATGGCTCAAGAACTCAAAAAAGGCTGGACTACAGATTTCAGTAATAAATAGAGCACATTTTATTAAAGAAGCCAGGATATTACAAGTCTTCTAAATTCCTTCCGTTTACTTTCTGAGACAACGCAAGTGATATAGTGGTTACTGGCATGGAACTCTCATAATGCTCCCAAATTTCAGAACTTTAAGCATGAGTCAGACAGTTACTTTAACTATTACTTAACAGTTACTTTAACTGTTTTAAAATCTGGTTTTGATCTATTTATACCACAAAAACTAATACAGCAAGACTATCTGAAATGTAGAATTCTAAATAACGTATAATCACATAATAGGCCCTACTTTTAAAAACAGGAATACTTAAATTGCATATTCCAAACCGCTTTTAATTCATTCTTAACATGTTGTTTCACTAACATTTCAGGAGTTATTTTCCAGGATATGAAGCTCCAACATTTAAAAAAAAAAAAAAAAACAAAAAACTGTGTCTATTTTTTATACTCTTATTAAAATCTAAAATACTTTACCACATTTCAGACACTAGGAAATTCAGCTTTTCTTAATACAAAGAAAAAGGACATAGGTTACACTAATTAGCTGCTATAATGATTCATTTTATAAGTAAATTTGAAACCTTGGAATAGTTTTTTTAAAAAAGTCCTCAATGCGGCAGTTGAATCTTCTTAACCACATAGCATGTCATTAAGCAACACCACTGCTTTCCTCAAAAGGGAACTGTTCTGTGGCCACAATGAGCAGCAACTAAAAAAATATTTTGAGATGGAAAAATAGCAGCTGAATATTAATGTTTCACAATGTTTCCAAATGCCATAGAGGCAGGTCTTCTGTTAGACCCCTCAGGGTCAAGGCCAAATTTAAGGTCTTAAGTGTTCCAGCTACCAGGGTACCATCAATTGTCTATAAGATTAAAAATTATATTTACTAGTAATTGGATCAAAATAGGGTCGCTTATGGACACAGCTGGTTATTGACAAAAGCAATTAGCACTTTGCACCTCATATTAAGGGTCCCAGTCTAATTACACTGGAATTCAGTCAGCATGAACTTAGGAATACACACTCACAAAGGCACAGTTACTATGCCCTTCATCAATGCCTTGCAGAGGATAAAGAAAGGCCCACTGGTAATGTACAACTACTGCTGACTGATCTCTGGGTCTATGACAGTGAGAATAATCTAACATTTTAAGTTATTTTTCTGGTTGTTAATACATCCTTTTTATTCTACTTTAAGGATGATACCCTTGGAATCTTTGGCAAAAACTTTAGCAAAGTGAGCAGTCCAAAGTAGATCAAAAAGCAATCAATTGAAACAGTTAATTCGTTTCTCACCATGATGTTACTGTCAAAAACATTTATTATTATACCTCTTCTAGTATTTTACAAAACAAGATGGGTCTCTTAAGACTTTCACTTCACTCTGTATGTAGATGTAATTAATAGTGATCACCCTTACAGTTTCAGAGAATTACCTGAGGCACTGGTATTCAAAAGTAATTTAATTAAATCAATAGGTTTAAAGTACACAAGACACACTTCTAATCTTGACCTTGCAAGTCAAAGTAAAGACACATACAATATCTTTTAAAACACCTAATTTCAAACCTGATACCTACATTACAAGCCCAATGACATTCTTGAATGTCAAGAAATGCTAAAGTAAATCTTCCAGTTACAGTGCCCACAAAGCTAACTTTTAACATTTCTAGCTGATACTGTTACAAATAAAAACTAATCACAATCGAATAAAAATAAACTGCTTATTTCACACTAGAAATTCTGAGGATGAAAAATCCAATAAATAATAGCAGTGATGAGTTTCTACCTATTTATAAAACTCACATTGAACAAGTTTGTGCTCTAAATAAGGTACTGTAGCAGCAGTTTCAGATTTCACTTTGATTTATGTATTCCACAAAATGCATAGCTTCTGCCCTTAAAATAATATGTGCATAAAATAAAAAAAATCTAAAATGTCAAAATATTAGGAGTAAAAATTGTAAGACATAGTGCTGTTCTCTTATAACAACAGCACCTTTACCAAGCAAAAACACAAAAATAAAAACCATCTTCATTCAGCTACTGTTGTGGCCTTATGTATAATATATGCATATGCTAAACATACCCATATCTACCTTTACCACTTCCCAAGCTGACACCAACTTTGCTATTACTACGTAAAAATTACAATTACGTCAATAGTGTCTGCTCTAGAAAAAAAAAAGTCATGGAGTTATTAAAAGAATGGTAAGTTATTCACAACAAAGTTTGTCTAGACTTGGTTCTGTCATAACTCATAAAGTTCTCCAGCCCAACATCATCAATAAGAACACAATGTGTTACTAAACTACTAACAAAGCAATCCACAATTCCAAACTCAAGAGGACTGATGTCCACATCACCTTTATTCAATTATGCAGATCCTTAAAATAATATAATATTTACTCACTTTCAATGAATCAAAGCAGGCGATTACTCGTCCATTTTCAACTTGGCAGCTTTTCGAAGGATGTGCAAATTTACATTCCGTGTCTGGCCGTGAGCAAGTCCCCCTTTGAAACTCTCTACATACTTCCAGTGTTAGCCATTTTGTGTCCCGAATTGGTGTGACATTAACAGCCATGCTTAGATTTTACAGGTAGTTAAATTTTTCAGTGAAACCAACAAACCCAACCCCCGAAAAAAACAGTAACAACAACCAAGAAAAAAAAAAAGATAAACTGATAAAACTGTAAAATGATGAAAATGTCCCCTCCAAAATACTTTTCCCCTACTCCCTGCTTTTAAAAGTACATGGAAAACTGTATTGTCAATATCAAGGAACAGATCTCCCACTAGAAATTCACAGCATGAAACTGTTAATTCAAAGAGCTTTTGGTTTTGAGAGAAATACTAGAATTATAAGTAGATGAATGTTTAAAAGTAGGGCCTGGAATCAGCCTTGTGCTTTCAGTAACCCCTTCCCAGTGCCAATTTGGAGCCCAAAATGCAAGCATGAAACGTGGCAGACCCTCTGACACCGAATTTCCAAGCTGCTTTCAGCAAAGTTGTCTGAAAGGGAATCTCCTCACAGCTGAATTTGCAATGGAGTTTGGTGGTGCAATCGGTATTGATTAGTTTGGCATAGACAGATGCAGCAGTTTAGAGCAAAATCGAGAAAATGATTTTGTTTTCCTCCTTGATTTCCTGGCAGAAGATATCTTACTTTTTCAGCAAACTTTTCTTTTAAAACTAAAGCAGCCTAGGGCAATGCCAGATACTTAGAGCTTTTCTCTTGATTATAAGTAGAAATGAGGGTGTCTGGGCTAGAGGTGGAGGGTGGATGTGCTGTCGTCACAGTCTAGCTGGCAGCAAGCAAGGCAAAAGCAGAGACTGCTCTAGAAGCGGTTCCAAGCAGCAGAGACGTCAGGAAAGGCACTTCTTAGTACCAACCTGTAGAGAAAAGAGATAGGTTAAGATTTACTAAGTAGCACTTCACTGATGTCCTACAGTATCACAACCTTGCCACGTGATACCAGACTAAGTAATATTCAAAATCAGCCACTCTCTCTCCTTCTCTCCCACAGAGACACACAAAAAAATACTTACAGTGAGACATATTGCAGCCAGCCATCGTAGATTTATTAAAAAAGGGGGTCGTTTCCCCTTGTGGAGCAATGCATGATCAAGAGATAACCAATCACAGATAGTGTTGTAGCAATATTCTGGGCAGAAAGCCAATAGTGTGGGTTGTCTTATAAAAGGTCGTGCCTGTCAGACGTTCATTACTATGCTATAAGCACAGAAAATGTCCATCAGATGTGACTTATTCCACTGCAAGAGGACGAGCATGTGGGTTTTGAATTTACCCAACATGCAGTTAGTGGACTAAACCATGTTAGTTTCAAAATAGCTCCTAACACAAGTCAAAGCACTTAAAGATCATTACCAGGGAATAAAATGCAAGGTTTAAAAATTGCAGCTGACTTCCAAGCTGCTTTTCCTAAGGCTCAGAGCAGGGACCGCACTGAACAGCCTGCTCCTGCTGTCCTGACACGTGAATAAAAAAGGAAAGGGGTGTTTACAAATGGTACATTCTCCTGACCTATCCAATTCACTTCCTTCTAAAGCGCAAGTCCTGCCCCTCCACTGAAAGCAGCACTCATACTGTAAAACTATTCCATTCAGCCGGCAGACACTTTGTCAATATATCACAGGCAGGCGAGATATGAACAAAAGCATCCTTTATTCGAACATTTTTAAAGCAGAAGCTGAGGTCATGTGGGGAAAATAAGGAGTGCAGTGTTGTCAGTGTGTCTGGTAAATCTGAAGTCAACCTCATGGGAGAAAGTGATTCCATCGCAGAAACATTAAATATTAAGTGAGCAATTTGATTTGGGCAGTGTGGTGCACTTCAGAAGCTCAATTCCAAATGAAGCTGGAAGGTAGGGGCTGAGGGACAGCCAAGTGCTTGGTAATCTATTTAACTCGGCCTGAGAAGACTCCTTACTACTTGGAGAAGGGCATTTTCACATCTAACAACTTAAGTTTCTCTTTTAATCAGGATGGAAAACTTTCAGAAAATTTTTACTAGCTGGGGAAAAAATGATACTTTATTTTTTTCCTTTTGAATGTTGCCAATGAAGAAGATGAGGCTTTAGAAAGTAAGTTTCACATTCCCAGGAGACAAAAACGCTGTATCATACGGTTCGATTAACTGCTCTTCACAGGCCCACATGGGTCTACTGGCATTTGGCACCTTTATAATTTTGAAAATTGGAATGTAAAATATGAATATATATTGGAAACATGGATAATAAAATTTTAATTTTTTCTTCTAAGACTTTCATTCTCTGGGTTTTGTTTTTTTTGCTTTTTTGTTTGAAGATTTTTTGTTTTATTTTGTTTGCGTGTTTCATTTCATTTTGTTTGTGATAATAAGGAATGAACCCAGGGCCTTCACACTGAGCCCTTCCCTAGCCCGTTTTAAATTTTTTTTTATGTTAAAACAGAGTCTCACTAAGTTACCTAGGCTGGATTCAGTCTTGTAGAGTGCTGAGACTTAGGGGTACACCAATACTATATAACTCAAAATATGAATTTAAAAAACTATTTTCCAAAACTATTTGGAAAATATTATAGTCAAAACTGTAACTTTTGATAGAGACTACAGGAACTAGGTCATCCAAGGATTGAAGAAATGATTGTTTTCAAAAAAGTTTTCAGGTCCTAATGCTTGGTTCCATAAAAACGTCAGACTCAGAAACCAAGTTGCTTCTACTTTCCTGAATTTGTTCTGTATTCAGAATTTTCTCAACAACTTCATCACTTGACCAAGTACCATATGCATTTAGTCTTGCCCTCCAGAATCTTAAAATATCTGCAATAGTTCACCTTCTTTAAAGCAAGATAAGACACCACACCCTCCAAGAAACTTCCAAGATCCACTTCCTTCATTTCCACCGGATTACATATAAATACTGCCATCTCTAAACTACCCCTGTGCTTTAACCGTGTGCCCTACACAATGTATTATTTCCTTCCAGGTCTCATCCACAAGCCTAAGTATTCCCAAGGGTGGAAATACTACTACTCCTCAGCAATCTCAGTGCCTAGCACACTTATAGAAAAACAGACAGAGCTCTATAAACACTAGTACATTATATTACCTGTTACTATCTTAGGAGGAGTAGGATTATTTCTAGTGAAACTGAAAGTGCATATACATACACAAATGTACTCATAAAAACACATTATGGATTTAACATGTTAACACACTTGAAAACACACAGAGACACACAGATATTGCCTGTATACACTGTAAGTATTCTAAAGTCATTTTGTGTTCAGCTGTCTAGGATTCTCCCCCTGGCGTTGGACTCCCTCTCTCATCCTACATGGCAACTTCTCTAATTCTCTGCCATTCCCAAGTCCTTCTTTCTCCATGTTTTTCTTTTAGCACAGGATCTTGAGTCACAAATACCTCATAAACAAAATGACAGTCCATGGGAATGAATTTTCTCTGACCTTCCTGCTCATCCATCTTTATCTGTACCTTTCTTCTCCATCTGAGAAGTTCTCCCCTCCTCCACCCTTGGTTAAGCTTCTACAAGCTTCCACCTTGACTTGTTTCTTCTTGAGGCCTCTCTCCTCTTTCACTCCTATGCATGCACACCCAGTCTTTCAGTAGTCCTTTCTCTCAGTCTTTACATATACTGAAATGGAGAGGGTGGCATGGCAAGAGGAAAGGGACCCTACCCTGGTGATACATCCTTCTCTACCCAACGCTCTTACTCTGCCAACCCCAATATCTAAAGTGTCATATACATGTGCTTCTTCCTCTCCCATTTACTTGTGAATCCATATCAGTTTAACTTTTACACCCATCTCTTTACTGCTCAGTGAAATTGACAATAGTCTCATAAAAGCTAAATCCAAAGATTATGTTTACTCGTTGTCTTCCCCTGACCTCTAACACAATTGTCACTCTCTTACTGGAACCTTTCCCCTTGCACATACTGACACATTTTACCCTTTGGCTTCTGTATGTGCTGCACCTCTTGTATGCTCACAGGGACAAACAACTGAAGGTTCTTGGCATACACCATGTTATGAGCTCCGGAGACTTGCTACATGCTAGCCCTTTGTTTGAAATCCTTCCTTATTTAAGTTGTTATGCAGGCACTGACTTATCTGTAAGGCTGGCCCAACTATGCTAAATGTTAATCCATATCAGTGTATCTTTCATATTCAGAGATTATATTTACTCCTTGTGTCTCTTCCTACTTCCTTCTCCGAGATTATAAACTCCCTAACAACACAGTATACCCCAACATCCCACTGCCCAGATCCTGGAACATAACAGACTTTTTTAAATATTTGGGAAATGAATAAACTTGTTCATAATAACAGGAATAAACATAAATACAAAGATGTGTTCCCATCCAAAGGAAATATTTAACCTGGATATACAAGGTCCAAACCATACGAGGAAGGAGAACGGTAACATAAGAAACGTCTGCATTACTTGATGTCTAAATAAAACAAAAATAATTTCTAAAGTGGATTTTCTCTTTCTGCCATGCTACAGGCTATGTAAAGCTGCCACTCAAATACAAAACATGCTTTATTAAAATTCTTGCAAGTTAGTGTTTGCAGTTTTTTATTTTCTATAGCAAAGCAATTCTACCTACTTCAAAAAAGTGTTATTGAAAGAACTACATATATTGGAATACTGACAATATTACTCAATTGTGAACACTATATGCATAGATGATAATCAAAATACTTAAAATCAGCTAAGCACAGACACTCAGCAATTAGAAGGGACACTTAAATGAATGTATAACTACTCTAGATGGATCTAGTAATGTGGGCTTCACCCCTTCATACAGGGTACTTTTGGTTAAAAACTCAGATTATATCATATATACTAATATGGCCAACTTTACGATATCAGATCTTACATTTTTTCTCTTTATTCCAAAAGAATTTCAAGAAAGATCAAAGGTCTTTATAACTGCTTTAGTAAATTAAGATTTCCTAGGATTCAAACCAATTTTGAATTCATTACTTCAACTAGTGGCAGGAATGAATCCTACACACAGAAAAGATTTTGTTTAAGTGTGGAGGTACTATACAGACTTTGAGAATTCTTGCACACATTTTCTCTAAGAATAAATTTTATCTTAAAATAATCATTGAAGGAAAATTTCTACTATATAGTACTTACTGATGATAAATTGAGGTAAATAAGCTATGTATATTTTAATATATAATAAACTTTTCTAATGTAAATTTGAAAACACTGGGATTCCCTCTCACACCAGAAAGAATGGTTAGCATCAGGAAATCAACCAATAACAAATGTTGTGGGGGGCTGTGAGGAAAAAGGAACCCTCCTCCATTGTTGGTGGGAGCGTAGACTGGTACAACCACTGTGGAAATCAGTGTGGAGATTCTTCAAAACATTCGACCTCTAACTATTCTCCTTGTGGGTATTTTCCCAGAATTAAAAAAATCATACCACAGCAATGTATATGCACTCATGCTGACAGCAGCTCAACTTATAATAGCCAAATCTTGCAAACAACCCAACTTGAGGAATGGATAAAAAACATGTGGTATTTTTATACAATGGAGTACTACTTTTTTAGCTATAAAGAAAGATAAACTCGAGGCTTTTTAGGTAAATGGATGCAACTAGACATCATATTCACAAGTGAAAAAAATCAGACTCATATGTGTAAACATCATATTGTCTCCTTAGTATAAGAAACTTAAAAAAAGGAAATAAGACCCAAAATATACACTAGATACCGTGAAAGGGAAAGAAATTGCTCATAAGGAAAGAAACAACTGGAACGCGTGAAGAAAAAAAATTTACATATATACAAAAGAGAGCTAATATAACTATACTACTCATTTCTATTAATTCACTAAAAGGAATGGCTTGTGCTTACATTGTTTGATCAGTTTTGCATGCCTATATTTTGTAATCTGAGCAACTATTTTTAATAAACATTGTTGGATGTCCTATCACCTTGTTTTGAAATCCTGCATCATTGTTTTTATTGGTTTTTTCATTTATTTTCTCTTCTCTTTAAAATAAAAAAAAAAAAAAATCAGGCGTGGTGGCACATGCCTGTCATCCCAGCACTTGGGAGGCTGAGGCAGGCAGATCCTTGTGAGTTTGAGACCAACCTGGGCTATAAAGTGAGCTCAAGGTCAGCCTGAACGCCATAGCAAGACTCTGTCTTAATAAATAAATAAATAAACAAACAAACAAATTTCTCTGAATAACAAAAGATTGAGGAATTAAACAGTTTTGCAGTGAAAATCCAGACTTTTTGAAACCTTTATAAAAACAAGCTCTCTTCATCCCACTGACTGAATACCAGACTTCATGCAGTTCCTCCTCTGATGTAATATATTCTACAAACATGCTTATTGTGCTATAAGAACCATGAGTGGGTTTTTTTCTTGAGTGATGTCAGAAGTCACACGAATATTTTCAGATGGAACGAGAAGGAAAACAGAAACAAAGAAAAGAAGAAAATGAGATAATGGGAATCCTGAAAACTCAAGAAAAATACCAAGAATAAATCTGCTTAAAAGGAAAAGAAAATCATGGAGAATCCTCCACAATTATTCTTCAGCCCAGGATATGTATTAGTTGAATGATACTCAAGGGATACACTGGAGGGGTTAATATAAATATCTACTTAAACTCCACATATATTCTGCAGTAGAAGATAAATGCTTACAAGCTATGAGAATGAAATTCTATTTTAGAGAATTGGAACACTTCTATGAACAAGGTTATTCTTAGTCATGTATGTTTACTAATCATTCCAGTTCTTCTAAGCCAAGTATAGACAGGTGGATCCAGTTACTTCCAGAGTAAGTAGGAATTTGGGGGGCTTTTTTTCATAGACTTTTGAGGATAAGATAGGTTATACATTAAGGAAGCAAACTAAGTAATTATTTGAGGTCTTTATTATGAGTTTTATTTATCTACTCTAATAGTTTTAATCTAACTGGAAGATCTGGGTGACTTCAAAAAGTAAGTTTGGAGGTGACAAGTTGCAGGCCCTTGCCCAAAACCATAACTTCTTCCTCTGGGTCACTAAATGTCAACAAGTCCATAATTAGCAATGCAGTATGTCACCAAACTAAGTTTGTTCACACAAAATTTTACTCAGGGCTGGCTTATCCTAAATATTAATAAAGTCTGCAGTATACAAACAAATAGCTAAATATTTCTCTAGGTTGTACAGCTATTTCTCTG